AAAAAAAAAAAAAAAAAATTCCTCCAAAAGTACATGTAATGAAAATTTTCCGTTTTATTGGGAAATGCAACTACACCTTATAAGGCTTATATAAAGTCTAGTGTAGTCTCAAATCTTTTGTTTAAACTGTTTACTTTCGACTTCCAAATCACCCAATTTCCAAAAATAGAAACACTCAACCCTATGAGACCCTAGTCCCCAACCCTACTCACACTCCCCTTGAACACATACACAAAATCCCCACTCTCCACACCATGCCACCTTAGACTGCGCTCACCGTTCATTATCCTTTGCTTGTGAATGAATATGTACTCGTCCTCCGGCAACATCCCCTTCTCCACCATCGCCCGCCGCATCTCCTCCACGCAGCACCACTCGTTCATCTCCACCGGCATTCGAGCCGCCCCCATTAGGCTTGCCGCCGCCTGCACCACCACCGCCACCCTCCTTGCCGCCGCCGGAGCCGCCACCCGAACGGACCTCGTGTGGGCCACGACCTCCGAGCCATCTCGTATCCCGTAGTCGCTCAAGCACCGAGAGGTCGAACCGCCCTCCTCCATCTCCATGTCGTTGAAGAATAGTGCCATGCGCTTGATTGGCGTGCCGTCGACTATGTGGATTTTCTCCTTGAGGGTGTGGAGAGTGTCAGCGGCTCGATCGACCTCGATCTCGACTTTTCTACTTGGAAATTTGATCGTGATTTTGATTTTCGTCGAAATTGTTAGGGTCAGAGAATGGGGGTTAGTAGTGGTTGTGAGGTGGACGGTGGTGCCATCGGAGATGGGAGGGTAGTCGGATAAATCGAGGCCGTCGATGAGTTCCAAGTCGAAGATTGTTAAGGTTTGGGAGTCTATGGGGATGCCGAGAAAATCATGGATTTTTTGCTTAATTTGGAGGATGGGTTCTTGAGGGTCAACGTCCATGGAGAAGCGGAAGCCTTTGGTCAATATGGTGATTTTCATGGCTACAAAATTTGAGTTTTTTTATTTTATTTTTTAGGCTAGGAGAGTGACAATGGTATTTACTATTTAGAGTGGAGAATCATGAAGAAGAAATGAGAGATAAAACAGCTGTTATTGGTCATGTTCATTTTGAAGTTGAAGGGTTGAATTATGGAGTTCATGCAAGATTTGCATGCTCATACATGCAAAATGATGATGATGAACTCTTCTAGCTGGACATTATTTTTATTTTATTTTTTATATTTAATTTCCATAAAGACATGCCCTTCACATCATCACACCCAGCCATCATATTGATTTAAGAAAACTCACAGGTTTAAAACAAGTCCTTTTTATAGCAACTTGATGTTAGTTTCATAAGTTTGAGTTACTGTGAAAAAACGACCTAAACACGATTCATAGTACAACCCAGTCGACTTCATTTTTTCACCTGTTGTATGATATCTCTCTTTTTGGATTCAGGCCCAGAGCTTTATTCGCCATTATCGCCTTGTTATATTCTTTACAGTGGAAGATAGCACAAACTATTTTCTTATGGAGAGATAAAGGCCGGTTATGATGGCAGCTCCAGCAACTGTAGCTCCAATAGTACCGATTATCTTGCGCACGGTTATAGTGTTATTACGTGTCGGTATCGAAAGAATTTCCTTCATCTGCACAGAGTGTAAACATTAAAGTGATGAAATATTTCTCCGAAATTCGAACCCTTCAAGTCCAAATGTGTAGTACTTTTAACACCACAAATTAGAAAGTGCAAAACTAGTTCTTTAAGGTAAGTGAAGTGCACTTAATTTTCCCCATTGTTGATGTGACCATGAAGCAGAGAGACTTGAAAGATAGTCCAAATGTACTAACATCATTTGGAAATAGGCATAATATAAAAAAAGCCCTTACATCAACAGGCTGTTTCCAGTTATTCTTGATTCCCGCTAGGTGCCCCTTTCCCACAACTGCCACCACCGAATTATGCTCCCTCGCGATTTTTAATAACTTGGCTGACATATATCTAAAAAACAAAAGGAAATTAAATGATATATAAATACAAAAAAGTATGAAAATAGCAACTTCCTCAGATATAGGCTACATACATAAGCGACAAAGGATGCATAAAAGAATTATTTGTAGCTCGAGTTGAAGAGATCTACAAACAGTGTGTTTACATACACTAGAATAACACAGAAATGCAATAGCAAACATTTCACTCAAGAGAATGAACAGAAACAACATGCAGTTACGCCAGGGACTTGAGACAATCTGAATCGTAACTGTGAGAACAAACGGAAAAAAATGCTTACTGGTCACGCTCACGGACAAGAGTTTCCATGAGAGTTGGAAACTGCTTGCTCATCTCCTGAATTACGAGAGTTAACATGTCAACATCATCCATTTCTTTCAGCTGCACAAAAACATATGAGCTTGTTTATATTGTTTTGTCTTGAAAGTATGTAGGTCTTAAAAATGAAGATGCATTGGGTAAGGTTTTTTTTTTTTTTTTTTTTTCACTTTGAATATTTTGTTTAACATGATAACTACTTAAGTAGTGGGGCCTACTTCTTATATTTTGTGTTGCATTGCATATGAACTATTCCTGAGATTTGTAGGTAATGAGCACCATTAATGTTGTTAGAAAATAGTTGCACCGCAATTTAATCAAAGTTGGGGAATATTGAAGACTTAAAATTATGATAGGATATGTCCTTTCGGATTAGTGTAAGCGAAGCTCTTATCCCATAGCACCTGAGAGCCAGTGAGAGACATAATGCCGATAAAATGAGTCAGTCTTAAAAGGTAAAAGACTTTACTGCTTTACTGAGAACTTCAGGATCCGGCAAGAAAACTGCTTGAAACATCAAGGAGTATAACAATTTTGTTTTGTGCCAAAGAGGCATTTTTGCCCAAGTTCTCCTCAATGTGATCTGCAAAAACCAAAATTAGAAAGGCAAACCACGAAGAATTTTATGATTTATTTGCAAGGTAATTTGATATATAGGAAACGGTGGCGTAAAAATGCCAAAAGGCAGCTTATTTTTTTTTTTTAATCAGAATGTCAATCTGCCAAAGTACGATGCACTTCAGTTGTTAATTCGGTCAATACAGATTTTTTTTTTTTTTTGGGCGATTGGTCAATATAGTTAATGTAATGCAAACAGATATCACAGAGCTAATCTGATATAAAAGAGATTTGACTGACTGAAATACATAAAATATAATAAAATATTTAAGAACATCTGGGAGGAAAAGGAAAATGAACAAGGAAGATCATCTGTATTTAAAAGAAAGGGAATCTGAACAAGCAATTGATTTGTCACAAACGGCACTGTACTTAGCAACATATTCCTGTAATTTAACAGTTGTACAATTAGAAACCCAAAAGTGAAATAGCTTACATGGACAGGTCGATCGCCGAGTATAACCTTGCCCCCATACTTCATTGCTTCTTCATATGCCACACGAAACTCGGCCCCTGGAAAAACTTCAAGTTTACTAGCAACCTATTACAAGGAAAAAATTGCAAATGAGAAATTTTAGTATTGTAAAACCGTCCAAAGGTATTTAAGAGACCAAAAGATGCTTTGTCTATGACATTACAAGCACGTCAAAAGATATTGACATGCCTTAGCGAGAAACCAGCTGTAAATTATCCCAAATGGATTTTGGTTTTTCTTCCACATCTCCACCATTTCTCCAACTGTCGGCACCTGTGAAAAAAAAAAATAAAAAAAATCATAATTCAGTATCTAGGTTCGGAGTTAATAACACATCAAAAATCAATTTTAGGTAAAATGTGCAATTGGGTCTTCCACAAAGCTCTTATACTCAGCTTAAGCTGTTTGGGCCCCAAAAAGCTAATTAAAACATCTAATAACCAGACAACCTTATGAAACAAATTGAAGGCCAAATCTCAAGTTTGGCCCCAAATTTCTAATTTGACTCAAAGCATGTCATAACTTCATGTATGCTAATTTGAACCCAAATCAAAATTAACAAATGCATATCATAACTTCATGTACACGTGACTCATGCTCCTCATATCACAAAGAGTTTTCTAACACTTAATATCTATTCCTAGATAGCAAAAAATTATAGCAAGTGAAAACATATGAAAAATTATACCTTTAAATTTTGAGGTGTAAGCACAGCGACACGACCAGCGCATAACTCCAAAAATACAACCTGTAACAAAATATAGACATATTCTATAATTGAGAGTGAAAATTACATATAAATACTTCTATGCTATATTTTAACTTTATCTGGAAACAAATTCCAACTTTCTTTAAAAATAGACGCACCTCCGGCTTCAAGAAACCAATCACAGCTTCAACTTCCCTGCAAGATTCCTAGAAGTGCAACAACCACCAAAAAGTCAAACATTTAGTTTCCATGCCAGTGCTATACTTACTTCCAATTTGAAATAACAGCAAGTACAACTCACGATTTTCAGCTTAAAGCTCGGAGATTAAAAGAAAGAAACAAAATCCACTCAATCATATATCATGAATCACTTGTTGTGGCAAAGTACAAAAACAGGACTGCAAATCACAAGACACAAATTACAAAAATAAATACAAAGGTTCCCAAGAAACCATATACATGAAACTAAGAGAAAAACCATCAACAAAAATATCATTTTGATATATTTAACAATATATTACAACGCAAAATTCATAAAGTAAATACTTTCGTAGTTAAGAGGATAAAAAAAATTTTTTTTCCCTCATATCAACTAGATTACAAACTTATGAGAACAATTCATAGCCTTTTTCCGTCTGCTCCTAAAAGCTATCAAGAGCTGATTAACAATCCATACAATCCTTAAAAGGAGCCGCTAATCGAACTAGATATCAGCTCTCCTAATTTCTATCTACTCTGCATAAGACATATTTGGTTTCAACTTGATCACAATGAGACCTGCCTTCAATACAAACTATTCAATGATAAATCATTCCTTTCGGCATAGCACCACATATATGAACCTCAACACTATGAAGACATACAACTTCTGCTATTCATCCACTTACCTCAGCTAAAAATATCCTAAATCCCCCATTGCCCAAATTTCAGCTATCAAGCTTTCAACAGCAAGTTCCAAAAAAGCCAGAAAACAATTAGAATAACAACAATAGATATAACATCAAATCAATAGCAAATTACCGCAGAAACGTGGGCGGTTCCGACCAAATAAACATCACAGACGCCGGAGGCAGCAGCCGATTCGCACGTGAGCATCACCGCACTCCTCGAGAGCTCCGCCGGAAGAACTTTCCTCTCATAAGAATTGGGGGTTTCGTTATTCACATCCCCATTCTCCGGCGAGGTCTCATGGTCTTCAACGGAGACTCGTTCCCCGTCCTCTATGTGCACAAAGTCGTCAATACCATTGGTTGCGGCAGAAGAAGAGAGAGGATCCATCGGACGGCGGCTAGAGGAGCGTATAAAGGCGAGTGGCCTGAGTGGTGAATTGAGCCGCCACGACGGTTTCAGATTGGCGGCGGCGGTGGTCGTGAATAGAGTGATGACGCGCTCGGTCGATGTGAAATGAATAGTTCGGTGCATATGTTGTGAATTTTGGATTTTGGGATGAAATTTTGCTTACATTAGAGATCTTTAATAATAAACCTCCACGGACCTCCTTTTATACTTCCCAACATGACACATCATCCAAAACCTCATTTTTACTTCTACATCCATAAACCTCATTTTCATGAAATGTTTCATACTTATTTTTAATTAATATTATATTATATTCTTACATTTTTTAAAACACGTATAAAAGTTGAATCATTTATTTATTTAAAAAAAATAAAAAATAAGTGGACTAAAATAAAACAAAAAAAAAATTATGGACAAAAATAAAACGGACGGATTCTCACAATCCGTGTTTTAAAGAAACACGGATTTTGAAAATCCGTGTAACTGTAATTTTACAACGAACACGGATCACCAAAATTCGTGTTCCCTTAATTACGAACGGAACACGGATTACCAAAATTCGTGTTCACTTAATCTCGTAATTAAGCTAATTAATTAAACAAAACACGAACTTTGAAAATACGTATTTATATGAACACGTATTGTCATAATCCGTGTTAATTAAACACGGATCACTACAATCCGTGTTTAAGTATTTATTCATTTTTTTTTTAAATATTTTTTATAGTATATAGTTTTTTTTTAATATATACTATATACATATATTTAATAA